ACACCATTTGAAATGAATGTGCTCCTCGTTTGTCGGGATCAAAATAACCGGACGCAGTGCGTCATGATACTGTATATCTATATATATATACATATATATATGTATATATATGTGTGCGTGTATTTGCACGTGCTGCTTATTCACATACATTTCATGCGCACTCATACAACTTTAAGATTTTTGCCATCCACCACGGCTGATTGTTGCACGCCCAACATTCGTGAGTGTGCCAGCGCAGACGCATTGCATACTGTGTACACGGGGCACGTTATATATGCTCAAAATTTTGCGTTTACTTCATTCGCCTGGGGGCCCGAGGAGAGGCCCGCGGATTACGCCTAGTGACCCAAGAGCATTCTGCGCGGGTCGGCGGTCATTCTGTCGTCTTGGGGGGCCGTCTTGGAGGGTCGTCTTGGGGGGGCCGTCTTGGCGGGCAGTCTTGGGGGGCCGTCTTGGGGGGGCAGTCTTGGGCGGCCGTCTTGGGGGGCTGCATTGGGGAAGCGTCTCGGGGGGCCGTCTTGGGGGGGGGGCGCATTGGAAAACGACGAAACAAAATGTTGCATTTACCTGAGACGCCTGGGGGCCCCGAGAGGAGGCCCGCGGATTACGCCTAATGACCCAAGAGCATTCTGCGCGGGTCGGCGGTTATTCTGTTGTCTCGGGACGCTGTCTTGGGGGAGAGGGGCCGTCTTGGGGGAGGGGGCGTCTTGGAAAGCCGCGTAACAACATGTTGCGTTTACCTGAGACGCCTGGGGGGCCCGAGAGGAGGCCCGCGGATTACGCCTAATGACCCAAGAGCATTCTGCGCGGGTCGGCGGTCATTCTGTCGTCTTGGGGGGCCGTCTTGGAGGGTCGTCTTGGGGGGGCCGTCTTGGCGGGCAGTCTTGGGGGGCCGTCTAGGGGGGGCAGTCTTGGGCGGCCGTCTAGGGGGGCTGTATTGGGGAAGCGTCTTGGGGGGCCGTTTCGGTGGGCCGCCTTTGCGGTCCGCGCGTGCCCCTTCATGCCCCGCTTCTCTTCTCCATCCCCGTCCCTTCCTCTCCCACACTCTCCAAACGCGTGCAGGCAGTTATACGCCCGTTGTCCTTGGTTGTGCACAATGGAATATCGTCGCCCAGCCTCGTGTGATTCAGTACGGTTTGGTAGAAACAAGTACTGTAGTGGTATAACATTTACGTCCAAGCGCTTTCGTGTTAATGTTGCTGCATCCTGTGTCCTCTGACGATTGCGCGGGGCAGATGTCAGTGGCGTTTCTTCGTGGCTTCGCCTGAACTTGGATACAATATTCAACGCATTTTCTTGAGAGCAGGGTGCCGTCGATCTCTTCTGACACGTGAAATAACGCCTGGGGCCACCCTGCCCGTGATGGGGTGGTTTGGTACGTACGTTTGTGGCTTGTTAGGTTGCGCCTCGGTCTGGAGGCATGCGGTGGGGCAGGGAGTCGAGGAGCAGGCCCCTTGATCGAAACGGCTGCAGTGGAAGATGGAGGGGGGGAGGGGGAGGAGGAAGAGGAGGTGGGGCGAGAGGAGGGGGGCAAGGCAGGGAGAGGACGGGGCGGTCAGGGACGAGTTGGAAAACTAAAACGACAGCGATGACGATCATTTCAAAGCCACTACGGCCGCAAACCTTTTTGCAGGTGTCGCAGCGGGCACTGCGGGCCCAGCGGCCCAGCTCGCCATTTTTACGCCTGACGCTACTCTGTCACCTCCTGGCGCGCCATGGGCAGGCACAGCAAGAAGGGCAAGGGCGTCCAGCCCAGCCAGGAACCTGATTCTTGTGAGGATGATGGGGTCGGCGCGTGGAGAGGGAGCGCAGGAGCCGCACAGGCTGCGCCCGCCGTCGGCCCGCCACCCAAGAAGACCAAGACCGGCGACGCTGCTGTGGAGAAGCCCGCTGCGAAGCCTCCGAAGAAGTTCAAGAGCGCCGACTGCCCTACGTGCAAGAAGCCAGCGACTGAGCGCCAGTTCCACGCCTCGGCCAAGTTGGTCGATGGCAAGATTGTGACCGACCAGGGCTGCCTGTCCTGCGAGGAGGTGTTCATCTGCGCGGGCCTGGCCGACGAGTACGATGTGGACAATTTCGCAGAGTTCACGCAACTATGCTTGTCCAACAAGGCCGTCCAGAGTGCGTTCGTGGGCTGCCTGAAGATGTACGACCGCATGTCGCACAACACCGCAACGGGGATCCAACTTGGAGAGGTTGCGGCGGTTCGTGGAACTATCAAGGACGAGGAGGGATGGAGGGGGAGGCACGAGGGAGGAACAATAATGGGAAGAGGAGGCGGAGATGGAAGAGGAAGGAGGACAGGAAACAAGCATACTGTTATAATGCTTAGTTTTGTTGTTTCACGTTCGCACCCTCTGAAGGTTGGCTTGGCCACATCTGTTGGGTACCGCGTCATTGCCTACAAGAGGGGGCTCACGCCAGCTCAGTTCCTGTCCATCTACAGTAAGCGCCCCAGTGAGATCGGCCTCCGCGTGAACGACCTCATGGCACCCAACGGGAAGCGCTACAAGGGCATCTTGAAGGATGACGAGGGCGAGACTCTGGGCTACAAGTACGAGTTCTACACCGACTCGCACGCGTTCAAGAGCGACCTGCTGTGCCCACGAGAGCGGGTGCTCCACGCGGGTCAGGTGTCCACGAGTTGGAAAAAGAGCCAGAACGCGGAGCTGAAGAAAGGCATGCTGCAGCTGCTCAAGTGCTGCACGCTCACCGATCAGAAGATCCGCGAGAGTTTGGATGCCTATGCCCAGGGCGCCCCTCCTCCCACCAGCTTGGAGAACTTGGTCGGCCAGGATGACCACAGCAACGAGGCCGACGAAGTCATGGAGTCCGATGTCGAGGATGCGGAGGACTTGGACGCCCCCGCTGCGAGTTCCCAACCTGTGGAAAAGGACTTATCACCAAAAACGCATTCTCAAAGACCACCAAGAGATCCAAGAGCCCCCAGGGGTCCCCCAAGAGCCCAAGAGATGTAATATATCCAAGATCCCAAGAGATCACCAAAAGACCCCCAAGAGACCCCCAAGAGATCCAAGAGCCCCCATTCAAGAGCCCCTCAAGAGCCCCCAAGAGTCCCCCAAGAGCCCCAAGAGATCCAATAATCAAGAGCCCCCGAGAGCTCCCCAAGAGCCCCAAGAGCTCCAAGAGATCCAAGATCGCAAGACCCCAAAAAAGAGCATCCCAAGAGAACCCCAAGAGATCCAAGATCCCAAGGGATTCCCAAAAAGCATACCAAGAGACCCCCCAAGATTCCCCCAAGAGCCCTCCAAGAGATCCAAGAGACCTCCGAGAGCACGACAACCAGCAACTCCTCCCCCTCCTCCTCAACACCTCCTTCCATCCTTCACCGCCCTCCCCCTCCTGCGCCATTCCCTCCACCTTCCGCTCATCTACTCCGACCCCGATATCTTGGAGGGCTCTTGGGGGACTTTTGCACGTGTCCTGAGGGCTGCTTTGGGGTTGTTGGGGACTTCCTGGAGGTATCTTGGAGACCCATTGGGGCTGCCCGTCGGCCTCTCAGAAGCTCCGGAGCGCATCATGGGGCCGCCCCTGCGTGCGTGGTTCGAGATTCGTACGCGCTCCTCCTCTTGGGACCACATGAGAAACAAATTCACATATGATGTATGGACCGTTGATCGCACGTACGCAATATGCAAGGTAAGCAATTGTGCATTCACCTCATCCTTGCTCGTTTCCTCCTCCTCCTCCTCCGCCCTCACACGTACCACTCGTGTCATACTCAGCGCTGCGCTTTTGGACCCTAAGATGCGGGTTTTCTGAGTCGTTGATGCGCTGATGGATGTAGACATTATGCTAGAGCTGATCACATGTTTGCCAGCGTGGGCCCCGAACAGTTCACTATTGCAATGCGGATGTGTGGGATATGTGGCGTAAGATAGGCGGTGTAAGTAGTGCGATGCAATCTACCTGGGGCAAACTATGTCGTGTACGCTATGTTATGCAGGCTACGTAATACAAGCTATGTGGTGGAAGCGGTGACAGCGACCCCTCCACCCCCCGCCACCTCCCCCATCCACCCCTTCGGATGTCCCTGGGAACCTTTCTTGGGAGCACCCAGGGGGCTCCAAGATGGCCCCAAGAAGGCCCCTGGAAGGCTCCAGAAGGGTAGGTTCTCGGTCGGATGTGAATCGTGCGGGCCCCTCGATTCCTGGTCGGGAGGTGAGTCTTTCGGGCCCCTCAGTTCTCGGTCGGAGGTGAGTCGTTCGGGTCCCTAGGTAGGTTGTCTTGACACGGCTGGATTCCTCAAAGTAGGTTGTCTTGACACGGCTGGATTCCTCAAAGTAGGTTGTCTTGACACGGCTGGATTCCTCAAAGTTGTTGTATCTCTATTAAAAACATCCAGCCACTCCCTGTTTTCTCAAGGCTTTGGTGGGGATGTTTCTAATAGAGATACAGCAACTTTGAGGAATCCAGCCGTGTCAAGACAACCTACTTTGAGGAATCCAACCGTGTCGAAACAACCTACTTTGAGGAATCCAGCCGTGTCAAGACAACCTACCTAGGGACCCGAACGATTCACCTCCGACCCAGAACTGAGGGGCCCGAAAGACTCACGTCCCGACCAGGAACCGAGGGGCCCGAACGACTCACCTCTGACCGAGAACTTCGGGGCTCCTTCTCGTCTTCACCATTATCCCCCTAATCATCCGTCTAGTCCTCATCACCCTATGCATCATCCCTCTCCCCACTCCCTCCTTCGCACGTATCGGAGATCCCCTTCTTTGCTCCCGCATTTCCTGATTACCTCAACGCGCCTGGGCGTCGTTGATGGGCTGGTGGGGATATGCGAAGCGTCAAAAATGTCAAAGTCCTGCATCGCATACATGCAGCCAGATAATACGTTCAAGGGTGGGCCGCGGCCCCGTGGGGGTGTCCGAAACAGGAGCACGTCGAAGCCGTCGGTCGTCGAGAGGAGCACGTGCGGCGCTTCGATGACCAGTCTGCGAGAGGTCCTCAGAGTGAGCGGGGCGGCCCAGCGGCTTCGGTGAGAGCTGGGTGCTCAGGCGGCCTCGGGCCCACTGGGCAGCAGCGTGGCTCCAGGATCCGAGCGGCTCTCGACGGCGCCGAGACCGCTGGTGGCAAGAGGTCGCACGGTGGCATGTCGCTCTCTGGGAAGACGTTCGTCTCGCCTGGAGATAAGGGCGCTCGCGTGAGGCACAGCGACGAGGACTACATTAGGCTGTTGTCATTCGACCGCGTCATGGAGAATCAGCAGTCGGGCATCCACGAGCGCTTCGCCAAGAAGCTGCTCGACGAAATGTCTTTGCAGAAGCCTCCCACGCCCGCGTACTTCACCTTCAAGCGCCACATGGACATGGTCGACAAGATCGTCAGCTTCAACAAGCTGGACGTGATGGCTTGCAGGCGGGAGGAGCTCGACGCGCGCCTGAATGAGCTCGACGCGATCAAGGAGTACTGGCCCTCGTCACGCAAGGAGCCCATGGCCAATCCTCCTCCTCCCTGGCCCTCTTCTTCCCCAAGCTCCTCCTCGACCTCTTATTCTCCCTCTTCGCCCTTCTGATTGCCTTCTTCTTCTTCCTCGTCGTTCTCCTCCCCGTGTTTGTTCTCGCCCTCCCCGTGCTTTCGATGACATCCGTCCGCCTTCTCCGAGGATGAGCTCCTGGAGAGGCGCTTGGCCGACCTGGGGCACCTCAGCACGCAGATGAACCAGCAGGCCATTGCCACCATACTCGCCGCCATCGTTCCGTGGAAGCTCGGCGATGATAGCGTGCCGTCTGGTGACGATGCCATCTTTGACCCGATGTCCCCTTGCCTTTACATGATAGACGGCAGCCGCGCCGAAAAGGCTACTCGCATGCAGAACCTCCTGTTGCAGCACTGCCTCATCCCGCTGATCAGCACAGGGCCAGCTGCCACCGAGACGATCCTAATGTTTTGCAGTCGGTCGGTCAGCACCTTGTCTCAGAAGCCCGAGGATCTGCAGGAGGAGTACTTGCAAGTCATTCTGCCGTCCATGCGGGTTCTGCGAGCGATGGCTACGATCTGCAAGCCGAACGAGACCGCTCACTTGGCTGACGCCCTGACACTGGTGTCTCCCAGCATGAGCGCTACGAGCGACAAGAGCGGAGTGACGATCATGCAGGCAACCGGCGCCGTCCTTGTCGGCACGAAGTCCTGGGACACAATCGTGGCAGACATCAAGCAGAAGAGCCAGTCTACCAGGGACAACCTCCCGAAGTACATGGATGTCATGGGGTCCTTGGAACAGATCAAGGACGGCAAAGGCGATCTACCGTGCGCTGCCGAGATGAAGTCCCTCCTCGAGGACGGCAAGAAGCTCTTCAATGAGGTGCGAGAAGGGATGGTGACCAGCCTGAAAGTTACCATCGGCAATGCTTTGACCTACTTCGTAGAGAAGACGCTGGCGCCGCTCCGCGCTCAAGATTCCAGCATCGGCGATGCGATTCCCGACTTTTCCAAAGTAGACTTGAAGACCTTAGAAGATATCATCAGTTCAGCCAACTCCTCCCTGGAGTACGCCATCTTCCCTGCCGCCAAGTACAAGGAAGAGGTCGAGAGGTACAGCAAGGCGGCGCAAACTGCTGGAGTGAAGATCAAGTTTATCGATGCGATGCGTGTCATCGATGCCCAGTGGGTTCAGGAAGTGGTCGGCTCAGACTGCAATGACTTCGCCCAGGCCGTGCGGGACGTGAGGGCCTTCGCTGGCGAGGTGGACCTCGATGCGAACAGTCACTTCGACATTATTCTGAGCGGTGTAGATACAGAGCCCAACTGGATGAAGGATGGCGCCAAGCAGTTGATCGACTCCTGCAAAACCGTCTGCGGCTTCAGCGATTTCAAGCGGCCCATCGATGACAAGTACACGCAGAAGTTTTGTGCGATTTCGAAGGCTTACGATGTACATGACATTCGCACGGCGTATTTGAACTTGGGTGTCGACGACTCGTCCCGCCTGCAACATCCTGATGCTATGAGGGTTTTGAAGGCACTTAGTTCTGGAGTAGCTGGCCTCAGAGAGTCTACCACGGGCATGGAGGGTTGGCACAACACCCAGGCTGGACAAGAGCTCCAACGCTCGGCACAGGTGCTCAAGGCAGCGGATGAGGCCGACTACGCGAAGCTCACCGACGAGGTGAACCAGCTCGTCAGCGACATCGATGCCGAGACCAAGAAGCAGGAGCCCGAGGGTGAGCGTTGGCTGAAGAAGGTCAAGAACAGTAACGATACCATGGCAACGATCTTCAAGCTATCCAAGAAGACCCTATTCAAGCTCGACGGCACGAAGCTGGAGAAACTAGCCGAGAAGCTCCTGACGAAGAGCAAGACCGCCACCGATAACATAGATCTCTTCGACAGAAATGAGCCCCATGACTTCACCAGCAAACTCGAGATGGCTGCAAAGAAGGTCCAGCTGTACATCCATGAGGCCCAGTTCCTCTTGGGCTGGGACCAGTTCAAGCTCGACGAGGTGGGGCTCCACAAGTTCGCGAAGAAACTTGACAAAGACATGCGCGAGTGGACTTTCCGCAACGTCAAGATCGGCCTCCAGTTCGAGTCGCCGCTCGACTTGCGGCTCAAGGAGATAGTGGAGATGGCTTGATTCATAGCCTGGCGTGCTGCTACAGAAGACGCCGTGCCCGAGCCCTCGGCGCCTGCCCGCAGCGACGGTGCCTTCAGGCACCTCTTCTTCCAGAGGTGGTGAGAGGAACACACCTCTTGCCTCTTTCTCTTCCTGCTCTTGCTCCTGCTGTTTTTCGCTTACTCCTGATGGCTTTCGCCGTTTTCCGTCGCTCCCTTGGGCCGTCTCGGGGACCTCCTGGGCCGTCTTAGGCAGCGTTGGGGTCTTGCTGGGCCGTCTTGGGGTCCTCTTGGGCCGTCCAGAAGCAGTATTGGGCCGTCTTGGGACTACATTGGGCCGTCCTGGGGGTTTCTTGGGCTATCTTTGAGCCCATTTGGGCGATCTTGGGGGCCGCCTGGGTCGTCTTGGGGCTGTCTTGAGCCATCCTGGGGTCATATGGTGCCGTCTTGGATGCGTCGTGGACGAACTCTAAGGCATGCCTCTCCAACCTCTCCCCTCCCCCCTCCCGCGTGCTTCTTATATCCTCAGGGCTGTCGCCCGCGCCGCCTCCCAGCTCGCATCCTCAGGGCTGTCGCCCGCGCCGCCTCCCCCAAGGATAGCCAGCATCGCGCGTTGCAGCGTGCAGCCTGACGGTCTCACGCACAGTAACATGTATGACGTGTATAACATGCAAATACGATTTTTCGGCGCAACCCTGATCACAAGAAAAAAACAACTTTTTGGGAAATCAGCAAATCAACTTTTTTCCAAGTTTTAAACAACTTTTGAACTTTTCTCTTCTGGAGGCCCTGTAGAGAACGACCGCCTCCATAACCTTCGCAGCTCGCTCGATGGAAAAATTGGCAAGGCTACATTCCATGCGTCCTGTCTTTACATCGATTGCTGTCGCAAGGTAGGTGTTTCTGTATTTTTAGAGAATCCCGACAGATCTTTGATGTGGGAAGCTCCTCGCAAGATTAACCCGAGGCGCGCTCGGGATTGTTCCGAGGCTCGTCAGCATCAATGTCAGTTTGGAACCGCTTGGAAGAAAGCCACTAGGGTCGTGACCTGGCGAGGGTGTTGCCTCTCTCGCCTTCAGCGTTTGTGCCGCGCCAACGGCAAGCGATGCTCCAAGACAGGCCGAGCCCATCATGAGCTCCCCGGGCATGCGCCCGGAGGACGGCACTGGACTGCTATCGCTGCTGCCTATCCTCGCCTGCTGTTCCGCGCCGTCGTTTCCTCCATGATCGATGCCGCCGAATCGCTGCGAATGTCCGTGTTGTGGAAAAGATTTAAACCTTGAGTTGTTTCGTGTTCAGGTTGTTTTTCGGCCTGCTGCCAGATTTGTCCACTCGGGTTTGGGAAGCTCCGAGTTGCGTCAGGGCGCGAATTCTTTTCCGCTCGGCTGGATATGATGTGCGTTGCTCCAGACACGATGAAAATTGGAACTGGCGATCTTGGGATCTACGGGCTAAATATCTGGCCGCTTTTAACTAGCAGAAGTGATGTGCAGAGCCGTTGATTGATCGCCGCATCGACTTTGCCCGTCGACGTACTTGCTCGAGTCTCCCGCCCTCCCTGTCCCCTGCTTTCGCATTTTTGCTCCCCTTGCTTCGCTCGATTGCATATGTTTGTCAGCTTTCTCTTGGAATGCCTTCTCACGCTCCGCTGCTTCGGGAAGATCCGAGTTGCGTTTGGGCGCGAATTCTTCTCCGCTTGGCTGGGCAGAAAAGCCTTGCCCCAGACTTGATAGAAAGTGGAACTGGCGATCTTGGGACCTGCTGGCTAAATACCTGATAATGTGATGATGATGCTGGTGGTGATGATGTCGATGATGTTGTGATGATGATGATGCTGTTGATGATGAGGATGATGATGAGGATGGTTGTGATCATGATGATGGCGTTGGTGGTGATGATGCTGATGTTGATGACGCTGATGTTGCTAGTGATGATGATGATGATGAGGATGATGAGGATGTGGATGATGATGGTGATGCTAATGATGATGCGGATGATGAGGAGGATGATTCTGATCATGTGATGATGATGCCGGTGCTGATGTTGATGATAATGTGATGATGATTTTGTGATGATGAGGATGGTGAGGCTGATGGTGATGATGATGTGATGACCCTGGTGTTGGTGATGATGCGGATGATGAAGAGTATGCTGTTGATGTTGATGCGGATGCTGCTGGTGATGATGATGAGGAGGAGGAGGAGGAAGAGAAGAAGGAGGAGGAGGAGATGGAGGAGGAGGATGAGAGATAGGCCGGAGAGGAAGATCGGGTAGGCGAGAAGTTTTTGTTTTGACATCCACGGTTGGCGACCCCAAGCTCTATAGGTAGGTAGGGCAAACAGAGACGGGCTTGACGAGCGGGAAAGAAGAGGGCACAGGGACGATGAGGGAGGAAGGAAGAAGTGGAAGGAGGAGGACGGGGGAGTAATGACAGGGAAGAGATGGAGGAGATGATGGAAGAGGAGTAGGATGGGGGTCAGGAGGAGGCGGAGGAGGAGGAGAAGGAGCAAGAGGATGAGGAGGAGGAGGATAATGTGGAGGATGGTGAGTAGGAGGAGGAGGCGGATGAGGAGGAGGAGGAGGAGGACGAGGAGGAGGAGGACGAGGAGGAGGAGGAGGAGGAGTCCGAGGAGGAGTTGGAGGAGGAGGAGGAGGAGGAGGAGGAGAGGAGGAGACGAGGAGAAATGAGGGATGAAGGGAAGGTGGAGAGGGATGATAGAGGCGAATGGTAATGGATACGCAGAGAGTAGAGAGGGAGGAAAGGGTGAAGGGTGAAGGGATAGGGATTGGGAGAGATCGGATAGGGGGATGAGGAACGGTAGATTGAAGAATGGCAGAAGGGAGAGATGATGGATGGAGGGAGGGAAGAATGCGTGACCAAGAAGACGTGCGGCAAACGTACCAACAGAGTATGTGGGGGTCCGAACTGTCAGCCACATGCTTTCTTCGCGCCCCTGCCCCTGACCTCACCTTTCCCTGCTCCCCCTGCTTTTTGCAACCCCTACTCTCCCTCCCACGTTGCCATACGTTCCCCTATCCTGCGCCGCCTTCCTCCGCTTCGTCGCCGGCACCCCCATCCATCATATTCCCCCCAGGGTCCTGCTTTCCCTCCCTATATCAACATGTCAATCTCCCAACATCGGACCCAGCTTTCAGGCCTGCTCTCTTGAACCGGTGGGCCGTCCAGGATTCCAGGTTCAACCTGGGCATCACGTGTCTTATCGTAGTGATACTGGTGATAGGTTCGCTGATGTTTTCGTACGACGCGAACGTTATGGTCCTGATGCCAGTCGAGAAAATGATCAACGTTGTCGAGGACAGCGCCAGGGAATCGGGCGAAGTAGGGAGGCGTGGGGCTGGCACCTCCTCCCTCTCCCCTCCACCCTCTTGTCCAAGCACGGCTCCCTGTCCTGCATCCGTATCCCATTGATCCCAATCTTTCTCCGCCACCTCGCCCTCCCCCATCTGTTTCAGCATCCCATCCGCGTCCCCTTCGTACTCCTCTTCCCCCTTGCCTCCCGCTCCATCCCTCATGTCCCACTTCCTGCTCCTTCCCCCCTGTGTCTCCCCCTCCTCTCACCCTGCCACCCCTCCTCTCACCTTGCCACTCACCCTACCCCCCACCACCCACCCCTCGCCCTTCCGCTCCTGGGAATGGGGTAGCCAGTGTGAACTTCGTGTGGATCTGCTCTCGCTCTCGCGAAGTTCATCGTTCGTTATCTCTTTGCCTATCTCCTCAATCTTCAATTCGTCGCCTCGGTGACTCCCTCGTCCTTCCTCATCACCTTCGCGCTCTCCCGAGGTATGAGCCCCGTCCCCATCTTCATCATGCACCTCATCTTTGTCCCTCTTCCTTCTCCTGCTCCGGCGGACCTCCGAGGCGATCAGGGCGAACCCGCTCATCGCCTTGAAGATGGCGCGCTGGTGCTCGTTTGGGTTGCCCGGACGGGGGCTAGGACGAGGATGAATCCGTTCCCCAGAACGTTCTGCAACGCTCTCAGAGCCTTCCGGAACGCTTTGAGAAGGCCGCGGCGCCCGAGACAGCCTCCAGAGCCGCTGGATCTCCGAGATCCTCGCTTTCCCCCCTCCCGACTGCATCCTCGCCCCGGCTGCGTCGCAGTGGCGGAGGGGGGGGCGAGGCACGGCGGCAGGCAGAGGGCCCCCTCTTCCCCCCCTCTCTGCTCCCGTGTGCCCCATCCCCTCCCCGCTCCTCTCTCGCCCGCCTCCCCTCTTCCCACTCGCCGACGCTCCGCAGGACTCCGCCGCCGCGACCAGAGCACTTCCCCCCCCCCCCCCCTGCCCCCTTCCCTCCTCCGCGCTGCGCAGCCCCTCCCATCGGAGAGGAAGGGAGGCCCCCCCCCCGCCCTCCTTCCCTCCTCCGCGCTGCCGCCCCTCCCATCGGAGAGGAAGGGAGGGGGGGGGGGAAGTGCGGGAGGCACCGTCGAGGTCGATCAGTAGGTCGACCCTGCCAATCAAGGGTGCCCCTGTGCCCCATGTGTCGCGACCCGTGCCTCCTGCATTCCTGTGGCAGTGTGGCCCTCGGAAGGGCCTCGCGTCCTGTCGCGTGTCCTCTCCCATCAATCCCGACTGTACGGGGGGAGGGTGGATGGGGGAGAGCGATGGGCGGGGAGGGTGGTCAGAGGGGGCAGCTTCCAGCGCATCGAGGAGCATCCCTGATCATTTGGCGAAGAAACCACGCACGAAACCGAAAAAACACAGGGAATGGACGTCCGAGCGATGGCGAGGTGGAGGGGGAGAGCGAGGGGCGAGGAGGGTGCTCAGAGGGGGGGCAGCTTCCAGCGCACGTGGTCCGTTTGGCTCGCAGCTCCTTTTTCAGGACGGCGCTCAGCTTCGCACGGCGCGTTTTCGCGCTGCACGACGGGAGAGGGTGGAGCGGGAGAGCGAGGGGCGGGGAGGGTGCTCAGAGGGGGGGCAGCTTTCCGCGCACGTGGTCAGTTTGTGTATCTCGCAGGTCCTTCTCAGGACGACGCTCGGTTTCGCACCGACGCGTTTTCGTGCTGCACGGTGGGGGGGCAATGGGGGAGCGCCGTCGGCACTGCGTGTTGATGGGGCAGCCCGGCAGCTGCACCGCCAGGGCTGACAGCACGGTGGCGGCAGAACGGGGCTCAGGAGGAGAGAAAGCACACAGACACAATTCCTCGTCGACTCCCAGGAAAATACGGGAACATATGGGAAGTGGGGGGGAAGACAGAAACTCCAGAAAATATGGGAAAGTATGGGGAATCTTTCTAGTTGTGTGTATTTATTTGTGTGTCCTGGGGCCCCTTCAGAGGCAGACGACTTTGGCACCGCTCGGACGTGCGCAGTGCTCTTCGGCGAGGACCATCGAGGAGCATCCTGGATCATCGAGCAGCAACACAAAGCGCGCGAAACCGAGGACTGCATATGGGATGGACGTCCGAGCGATGGCAAGGCAATGACTTGAAGCCGACACGTGACACCACAGCCGTCATGGCATTGACTCCGTTTCCTCATCCTCCGCATCCTTCGCGTCTTTCTCCTCGGTCGTACCGGGGTATAAGATCGAGGTAGCTCGGGGAGGGTACCCTAATGTTCTTTGTGCTTGTTGGATATTATTCCGCATCCTTGGGAAGGGTACCCTCAAATGTCCTTCAGTTTGGCCGGCGGAGGGTCTCATGTTCTTGGAGGATGTATTTCTGTCCTCAGTCGGGCTGTAGTACCACCTCCACGCCCCTGGTTCTGTTGACCCAGACGCTGAGGCGAGGCTTCGACAATCTTGGAAAGCGTTCATGGCACATACATCAGAACCTACATTCAAACGCTACTCTTTGGCAAGCAGTCTCCGCCTATTCCAGAGCGTGGTGACCTCGACGGCGATGTATGGAGCCTCATAACGTGGAAAGCTGTATACACAGGGTCAGCAGAACGACACCACCAATTGAAGCGCATGCAGCTTGAAACAAAGTAGACGATTGTTGCGTGATCTGGAGACGACGGGTGTGGAGATTTGCGCATCGGGCTGCTTATGATTATTCGGGGAAGTTGTGTCCCTCAGAGCTGCAATGTG